ATTTCCTGGAAATAAAGGGAATCGAGTAGGGATGTATTTCTGCCCTTTATTGCTTAAAGATATAAACTTTAACTCTATTTTGTCCTCTAACTCTAGAGAGCTTTTGGCAGCTCTTTAATAGCACAAAGTGTGATTACAATCAAAAGCATACAACTTCTCTTAATGGATGCTGATGTAAAAATACAAAATTTTGATAAATACTGAGAAACCTATGGTAAGTTGTTCGTGGACTTAATGTGAATATTTGTCAATGGATGACTTTACTGTACAAAGAGACTAATTTTAAAGCTGTGTACTAAATTAAGATGATAGACTGGGCAATGGAACATACAGTGCAGCATAATTATCCTGAACAAACATTTTTTTTTTAGGCTAAACTTTGCAGGGTTAAGAGAACTTTACAGAATCCTCAATCACTTATTTTTAAGACCCAATGGATCTGTAGTCAAGTAAAAGATTGGGCTGTAGACAAACACTTTTTTCCTCTATCTGTTTTAAAACACCAGTGAATAGAATTTTGTGATCTCTAAGGCTTGGCTTCATCATTAGCTGCCTATTTTGGTAGCTTCACTCATCTCAAGTTATCAGAGAAGTGTAACACACGTAGTAAATGCAGCTTAGGTACCTGAAGATGTTAGAAGTAATGCCTAATGGGACAGAGTTATATCTGGAGGTTAGAACTTTTTTTCTAGGATTATACTCTCAACTTGGAATTACTTGGTATTATAAGCTCTCCAACAAAAAGGCTAAATTTGACTGGAGTTTGATGTCATTGCAGAGCAAACATTACATGAGATTAGTAAGAGGAAATGCTGAGAAGGAAGTTTCAGGGCCTGTGGGTGGTAAAGGAAAAAAGCTATCTGAACATTAGTCAGAACTGTAGATTGTAGTAAACTCTTCAAAACATAGCTCTGTTAATGGTTATTTGAAGTGATTAACTTCTGTATTAAAAAAAACATTTAAGTAGTAAACACTTGACTCTTCTGCATGTGTTGATTTAAAGTGTTACCACTGGGGAAGAAGTGTTGGAGTACTTACAGAGAATTCAGCCTTATAATGTGAAATCTGAAGGTATGAAAACCTAATATTTTAAATACCAATGTTTTAAATTTAAAACTTAATATTTTAAATGCAATTTGACAAGCTGTTGATTGCATGGAGTTTATTCTCTAGAGCTTTCCAGCATGTCTTACAGTTTGCTCCTTGAAGAATGTTTGTGTTTCTGTAAAGCCCTGCATGTTTGATCAGTTATTTTGTATATCTATTTAGTTCTCTCATATGCAAGTCAAAATACCTTAAATTCAGAAAGCCCATGATTAGTTTAAGTTTTTGAGAAAATAGCTTTTTTTATTTGGAAAGACTATTCTATACAATACTTTCCAATCTCTTTTCAATCCAGCTGTCATTTCAGTCTGAGTTGGTCTGCTTCATGAGTGTGGAAACGCCATGGCTTGGAACATGCACGGGAATGTAAGGCCTGCTCTGATTAATGGTATAAAACAAGGCCTGATTGCTTGCTGGGTTTCTGCAGAGGCTGCAGAATGAGCTGCTTCATGAGAGATGCTAGTGTTCTTCATGCCTTGCATGACCTCCCATTAAGGCAAAGGAAAACTTCAGATGGCTGATGTGTATGGTAAATTGATCCAAAATTGTTTTTACTGATTGCCAAACAACTCAACTTTCAGACTGTCACAACTTTTTCTTACTGTTATCAAAATAGGAAAGGAATGAAGGGGAAATCCTGTGCAAGAACACTGCTAACTTGTACTACTGAATGAACTTCAGACTATTGAAGTCTTAATTTGTTAGCCATCATTTCTATAAGAAATAGTTTGGGATCTTGTCTTGGGAGACACTGTTGTTGGATAAAATCACTGTTACAAAAGCAGCAGTCGTGTTAGTCATCAACAATACTTTAGATAAGTTTGGTAAATACCAGTGTATACATGAACTGCAGAGTTTTGGAATAATAGCTATTTTTTCAGTTAAGTACACCTGCCTCATAAAGGATTACATAAGCTTCATATTACCCCTGCCTCATAAGCTTCACAATGAAATAAAATTTCTCTTTGAAAACTCAACAAGACTTGTGACCTTTAATTTACCTTTTAGAATCCAGAAATTGTAACAAACTTGTCGATACAACACTCCTGGGCACGTTTGAGGCTCACGATGATCAATTAAACTATTTCTGTTTCTAAGCATCTTCCATGATTAAATGTTCCCCTCTTAAGCTCTTCAGTCTATGCTCAACTGTTCATTCCAGTGGCTCTTCATAAGCCAGGCTCTCTCAGAAGAGATGCCTACACTGAAAAAGCAACAGCATGCTGCTGAAATGATACAACTCCACTAATTGTTCAGTTAGGCACGTTTTCACATATAGGATAATGGCCTCTAAATGCATACTCTGTTCTGTATGAACCTTCTATTTTGTTAGCATTCGTTTGTATTTTTTGTGAAACAGTTGGTGAGTTTCTGTACACTTCCAAGCAGGTATGAGGGTCTGTCTCTGAAAAGTAAGATAAAATTTATTTTGGAAGACCTCAGAAGACCTTTTTCCAGCATATTTAAGTGCTTTTCTCAGTTGAAATTACTTTCCTTATCAAGTAATAACATTACAAGCAGCTTTGATTCTTTTGCTAAGATATGTGCACTGTGGGAGTCTTACCACACCATGTCATGTGATGGTTTGAAGCCATGGAACATATATTGCACTGTGCATTTCAATCTAAGGTATGCAAAAGTGTATTATATTTTTCAGAATGTCTTAAAGATATATTTTTTAAAACATTAAAATAAATTAAGATGGAATGAGAACCAAAACACAGAGACAGTTCTTGCTACTGTGAGCTGTTCGTATGTAGATCTGTTCGATCTCTGAGCTAATTAGCTTAAACAAAGGCTTTCCTAAGATAATCACTTTGTGAATCTTTTCCTATATTACAGCAACCAGCTTTAGTGTGTTGTTGAAGGTCAAATGCTTTGTATAGAGGAGTACTAGTCAGCGCTTAATATCTGAATACACAGATACAAGTGGATGTATAAGTTAAATTGAATTGCCCAGGTTATGTAATTGTTGGAGCTTTGACTTTTGGCTGGAGTATCTTAAATGTTGACTTTTTTTTATGACTATTAAAATACATTAACTGTAGACTGGTGTCCTCTATGAAGCAATTATTAAATGCAAATTAAGCAATAGGAAAGACTTGAGTAAGGGTATACCAAGCTTGGTATACTAGAGCTTGTGCATCTGGGCAATAGTAAGTATGCCACTTGTGAACGTTTCTAATTGCATTTGATTGTCCGTGCATTGATGCAGCAAAGTATTACTTCAAGTTAGCCCTAAATTTTACAAAAGTAAAACACAGATTATAGCTAGCTTACAAATAAAAGGTTTACTCTTACAAATACTTCTGCCCACGAGGGATTATTTCTGAAGTCCTTTTTGAAGCACGTTTAACTTTCAGGGCTGTCTCATAGCCACTTTTCAAGGAAGGGAAAAGTAACAACTTTTTTTCATAACCGTTGACTATTCAGTGTTGTAAGAACACTTCAAGAAAGGCTTATAGCTTCTAGCTTGATCGACAGTGTGTTCTGGTGGCACTAAAATTAGTCTTAAGTCTGTAGTCTTTTCGTGCTTTAGTACACATCTCTACATGTAAACTATTTTGAGTTTGGTCTTCTGAGCCAACTGTGAAGGCTCGTGAGATTTTGGAATTTTTAACACCAGCAAATATTATCTAACTCTTGTTTCATTGATTATGATCTTGAATTACTATCTTTATCTGATAACAAAATATGCTTATCTAGTAATAAATACCAATTTGATTTGGGTAACCAATTTAAGATGCAGTATTCTTCATCTGCAGCCATGATCACATTTACATGAGTCATCAGTCAAACTATTACACTCATAGAACAGCAGAATCTTTCCAGAGATAATTGCACAAGTTTCTGAATCCTTTTGCCTAGAAGGATGTTTACTATTTCCATAAGGTCTCCCCTCAGTACAGGTTTTTTAGTCACTTGAGTGTGACAGTTGATAGTTTTAAAGTTACTAATAATTTCAATGAAGTATAAACACAGGATTATCTAAAAGTTGGTGTGCCTAATAAGACCTGTTTCTCCCTCTTAATCATCTTAGGCTCACTTATTTTGAGCTGAATGCTCAGGCACTTTTGGTTGAATTAAACTTTACCATTACTGAAGTTCTGTTTTTTATTTATTGACTTCTAGTTAGGGTAGTTGTTACCTGAATTTAAAATTTGGGATGTTAGCAGACTGGAAGTTTGAAGTGAATTGCTTTCAACTATTAAACCATGTTAGAGAACAGTTGAAAGTGCCACTATTAAAATTAGTGAGTAATAAGAGGCAAATAGATTTAGAGAAGGCTAGAATCACCACCACTGATAATGCTTCAGAGTCCATGCTACTCAAATAACCTATTTCAAATTGCTGTTGCAAAAATTGACTTCAGAAATGGAGCACTGATCAAAACAAGATCCTACAGTAATTATATTTATCACTTCAACTAGTGCAAGATCTTATGTGAGTTAAATATGCTTTCTTTTATGATGCTTGAATTTCACTGCTTTTAATTTCATTATGCATTGCCAAGTTCTTCTTACAGAAGTGGACTGTTGGAACTTGCTGTAACAGGAAGCAATTGAATTTTGCAAGGTTTGACATCAGCCTGAGTTAAGGATATTACTTTTAAGAAGTTGGGAGTGAAATTCCTCTATAAGGATCAGGTTAATATTGGTCCATCCTGTACCTGTGTGCTGAAAGGCTTTTGTATTGTTTGAAAAAGTGCCAGGTGGAAATGAGCTACTGGAGCAGATCCTTTCTGATCTGATTTGGTATAAAAATTGCTATGTTTAGCAAAGTATGCAGGATTTGGAGCAAAACTGCTCATTATCCAGAATTTGAAGAGTCTTTCCATTGTTCCTCTGAATTTTTTTTAGATGAATATGCAAAATAATCTGCAACGCTATTACGGCTGATCTGCAGAACTGTGCTGCTTTTGTAGTATTAATGCAACATTATTGAATTTGTCTGTGAACCCTAAGGAGATATGTTGGTGAGTGAAGATACCATTCAGAACACTTGAGAACTCCTTTCATTTAAAGTATTAGTAAGACCTGGTCACTGGACTATTGTATCTTAACACAAATCTAGATGCGTAAGAACAGTAGGATTGGAATGCAAAGCACAGTATGAACTATTAATTATGCAGTGTTACCACTCTTGTGATAACTTGTACATGAAAGTTATATCAAGTCTTGCCATGGTTTAGTAGTTAATCTCAAAGCTTTTCAATTGCTAGAGTTGTACTTCTTACTAACTTCATGCCTATAGTTGGATTTGGGTATATTTGGGCCTCAAGAGTGCAGAGTTTCTGTTTAGAGGCTTGATTGAACTTTTCTTATGGCCAGTCAGCATTAATCATAATTGAGGTAAGCTTGATGTAATTAGTTGTGGGGCATTCTGCTTGGTCTGTTCTTGCCTCATTAGCAGCTGCTGCAGCTTCTTCATAGCTATACCAAATTAATTAACCTAATCTGCTTCTTGTTATACTGCCACAGCTCATGATCAGATGCCAGCTGATAAATTCTCCTAGGCTATCAGCTGACCAACAGCCTCCAGCTTTTGGGCATTAGATAAAGATGTGGTGTGGCTTTAAAGAACAGTCTTTCGTAGATAGTTTGCATGAGTTTCTTCACTGAAAGGGTACTCTGGCAGAGCATGCTATAGTCAATTTAATGAACTGTGAAGAATGTGTGTTGATCAAAACAGTGTGCCCTAGCATGCAGGTTAACACCATCGTTATGTTGTAGTCTATTTTTCTTTGCAATTACTATGGAGAAAAGTCATGGAGGTTTAAACCGAATTTTTAACTGGTGTACTTTTTTGCTGTTATTCATAAAACTTTCAACATTCTGTATGAATATTGCTTTATGTCTTGTATCTCTCCAGAAAACAACCACATACTCTGCTCTTAAAAGAATCTTGCAGTGATAAAGTTGTACGACTGCTGGAAGTGGGGACAGTCACTCCAGTGTCTTTCAACATTCTTCAGTGCAAACTCAGTACTGGAGCTCTGTGCTTAAAATGATAGATCAACTATAACTTAATTCTTTCCAGAAAAGAGATGAGCAGAGGGCTGAGACTTTCCTGGAGCAGTCTTTAAAGTTCTGGTAATTAAGTGCTTGTACCTAGATCTCTATGTAGACACAGTAGTTTAAGCCAAACAGTCTTCTGACCTGACAGAGCAACAGCCAGTAATCTTTTCTGTGTTTGACTCTTGGCCTTTGCAAAGCAGTGCAACAAGTGGTAACTGTTTGCCTTTGTTAGGCACCAACAATTTTACATGACTGGTTATTTGGCATGGCAATACCAGAGTTTCTAGATGAGATTCATTAAACCTTGGAATGTGTTTCTTAATGAGGCCTAATTTTCTTGGTTCTAGGAAAATGGGCATGTGACACCTAAAGATCTTGTTGACCTGGAAGCATCCAACTTATTGGACATATGGCTGGCAGCCATGGTGTCTCATGGGGACATATATGATTATTTGTGCTCATCCTGCCATGTTATGTTAGTAAAGCTGATCTATAGATCGGATGTGTATCTCCTGCGCACAGCAGATCTATGTACAGACACGTAATGTAGTGTTCACTGTTGTAGATGCATGTTCACACGTAGATGCCTGTGTTCATACAAGATATGTCAGCTGTGCTTGAATTAACAAATGTTAAGTGCCTGTTCAGGCTGAGAAACTCGTGGGCAGGTGCTAATTTCTCAACTGCAAAGCTCTTGCAATCAAATGGAAGGCCTAATCTTAATCTCTCAAAGTGGTATTGTGCAATTTTTTTGCTCTATTCAAAGAATAAAATGCAGAAGATGTAGGAGGCCTGAGCTGTGATGGGCTGGAGGGAGGCTAAAGCTGTTGGGACATGAAAATGCATTAAGACCTAGGTCTGCATTGATATATACTCCTTGTGCTACGAAAGTACTTCGTGTGGGTTAGCCTAGTGTTGAAACTTATTTTGGAGGTTTGCACAAATGAGTTCATGGGAATACACAAAAGCTTGCTCAGCTTGAAGTCTAAGATGAAGGTTTCCTGGTGCTTTAGTGATAAGCTGATACTTGAAACTTGAGCATATTTGTGCCCGTGTGACATCCATCAGTGCTAAATGTTCCAAACTCCATTTTCCTTGGGACTGGTTTACTTCTTGGTGCTCTTAAAGGTTTCCTGTTGATGATGAACCATATGGATGTCCCAAGCAAAATTCAAGACTTAGAGGCAGCAGCTGTTATAAGAAGTTAATGATTTAAGAAAGTATGATGATGCAGTGGGTTTTGAGACTGCAAATATCACTTTCATACCTTGACTCACTGCCAGCTGAATGCCTATTAAAAATATTATAGGAAATATGAATAGCTTGTCCTTAAGCAAAAATTTGTTCTGTAACTTCAATGCAAAGCATAGGATTGTCTTACAATATATTTCAGTGTAGCTGCTATGTAACTGAATGTGTATTTATTCTTTTCCTAGACTGTACATGCCATTTGGCTTGGGAACAGAACTCACCATGGGACAACATCAAAGATATATCTCCAGATGGGGACTTTTACTTGGGTGATATGTCTGCTGTCCTGACTGTCTTCATACCCAAAGGATTTATTTTCATTTTGGAAATATTTTAAATTGAAATCTTATTCCTTACTGGAAACTTTCTACACTAAAGACTGCATGCATCATGGGTGATATGGCAAACAACTCTGTTGCATATAGTGGCGTAAAAAATGCTGTAAAAGAAGCTAATCATGGAGATTTTGGAGTCACTCTTTCAGAGCTCCGTTCACTTATGGAACTTCGAGCTACAGATGCACTGCATAAAATACAAGAATGTTATGGAGATGTACATGGCATCTGTACAAGATTGAAAACTTCCCCAAATGAAGGTAAGTCAATTTTCAGGCTGATGTTGAAGAAATTCCACTTCAAAAAAAATTTAGTCAAGCAAACTAAGTATTTGTATGTAGTAAGGTTTATAAAGGTATTTAAGTAATTATTAAGTTAATTATTATAATAAGATACTGCTTCTTGCTCCTCTAAGGCCGTATGATAGTTCAATAAGTAAGCAAGGGTTTTCAACTGGTCTAACTGCATGTGCCATTTTGGATTAGTTGCATAGCTGCACTTTGGAAGAAACAGTTTTGATGTGGGAATCCAGATCTGAGGTAGCAATGCAACAAGGCAGTGTTTAACTTAGTGTGAGCATGTAAGGCTTGTGATCAGCTCATGTGACATTTAGTTCATAATTCAGATCATGCTATCACGGAACGCAAGGTTTTAATAGTTTTATGCAGAGCTTGTTAATGCTTGTGTATTGTTCTTGTGTTCCTTAATACAGCAGTTTTTAAAGTTGGAGACATCTATTTTCTATCCTCACTGTATCAAATTCTTAATATTGGGATCCAACTTTTAAATCCACAGTATTTCTGTAGGTTTCACTTTATCTACACAAAATTAACTACTGATACAGCTTTAAGACACTAAGAGGTACTGTGACTCTTTTTGGTAAGAAGTATGCAGAGTGACCACACGATCTTTAGTCTCTTGAAAAAGCATCTTGTCAAAGACGTCTTTGCCATTTCAGTGACACTTCATCGAATACCACTGATCATATCTAATGCTCTTCTCTAGAATTGTTACTTCAAGATAGACTGTATAACTGTTAGGGGAAAAAATAAATTTTCATCTCCTAAGAGCTTTCCAGCACTTTTCAAGATCTGTTTGTCTTATGTTGCTCTTCTCCAGCGGAAATGAAAGCTGAAGGCATCATAAAAGAAATAGTTTCAAGTCATGACACTTAAGCTATCTGAGATGTAGTATCCTGTACAAAGTTTTGTTGCATATTGTTACGTAACGTTATAACTCAAACTTAATGGTAAGTCATGCTGTTTCTAGTAATTCTGATGATCTAAAATCAAGATTTTGGCAAATTGTGGTATCTCAGTATTTAAGTGCTCATGTAACTGTCATCCAGTGCAGCTTGATGCTGCTGGCAGTGAAGTACCTGCTGTCTTAATCCTGGAAAACTATTGCTTTCTAGTCTCAAGAAATGCTACGGAAAGGTTTGTTACCTTGCATCAAGTACAGCTTACTAATGCCTTAAGATACTTTTGGGTGCATCTACACTTAGCAAATTTTGTCTCAGGTTGCTTTCGAAGCCAGACTCCTGATGTCCCTTCTGATGTTCACATCAAGAAATGGTGTCAGCATGCAAACTGGATTCTTCTTACGGAACAGAAAGATTTCTCTAGATCAGCTATTATGACTTACCTGCCAGTGAGTGTTCAGTGCATGGAACTAGACCAGAGCTAGTCTGAAGAAACTTTAAAACATGAGTAGCACAAAATTTTAGTGGTGGAAAGAGCTGTTGCCTTCTATAAACAGGAACTGAAGTAAGGGTTAAATGTTTTTACAGTAATCTGCAGGATGTCTCTTCAAGGACCACTGTTACTGCAAGCTAGCTGAATGTATGATTGTAGGTGGCCTTGATGCACTGGACACGAAATACCTAGGAAAATGCAGAATTCACATTCCTTAATTTTAACAATCAAGTTAGCACATGAGAATCACGAGTGTGAATGTACTGAAACTAGAATAGCTAGAGGACCTGTTCCTGCAGCAGGGCTTGAGCTGTAGTGATTATTCTACTGTACTGAAAACTGTGTGGTCTTTCCTTTTTAAAAAAGATTTAACATTTACACGTATTTAACTGATGATCACAGGACAGTGCAATGACAAAGTTGATAAAAGGGCATGATATTTTTGAAGTGTGAGAATAGCTCATAAATGCAACAGACTCAGCAGTCAAACTTGATAATTAGCTCTAAAAAGGTTAAGGAAGATGGGTTACAGAAAACAGACTCTTCTACAAAGGTGGTGTTTTGGTTCTAAATCATGACATGAATTTTTATAGAACCAACTTTTCCTTTTATAAGATAAGTTGCTATGAATTCTCTTGGCGATATTACAGTGTAGAGTCTTTGTAAGGAGAATACTAGGTCTCTTTTTTATTGTCAAATTCAAATTTTAAGGATGTAAATGGAGAAATTTCCAATGGAGAAAACCTATGCAAGACTCTGAAAACGGCTCAGTATTATAGAAATTCTAGTTTTGTCAATGTGTGTATAAATATGCAAAGCCTTACGACATATCTTCCTATTCGGAAGCTTTCTGTATGACAAAATGCTGACTTGCATAACTAGTAGTGGCTTCATAGCAAAAGTACAGATAGCTCTGAAATACTGTACAGTGGATGAGAACAGCTTGTGCGATTTCTTGCGTTGAAGCTGTTGACGGTGTAAGGCAACATATTTGCAGCCAAAAGGTGGATCAAATCTATCTGACCCCAAATGAAAAATGGGAATTGTCCTTTACCAGTGCTACAAGAAAAGACACTTTGAGCAGACTTTACTGCTTAATATTTAACGATTCTCATGTCCTTTATGTGTACAAATGTGTGCATATACAAATATGTATGAATGCAGCTGTTTCACAAATACCAAAGTAGTAAAACCCCCCCGATGTTCTGGGTAGATGGACCATCAGGACATCAGTGTTTCCACAGATCTACATTTTGATTCTCTAGTAGTATCTACTTCTAAATTTGCACTAAATAATTCTTAGACAAAGCATCTACTAGTCACTTCCTCAATATTTTTCCACCTTAAGCCCAAATCACATAAATGACTGTCATTAAAATACATAATCAATAACACAAAGCAGTAGTTAGATCTCAGGCCTGTCTATTATAAACTATGAAATTACTAGCCACGTGGTAGATGTAGTAAGCTCAGTACACGATTGCTTGTTGTAAATAGTGAAAATCCAATTTTTTTTGTCTTTGCTAGGCTTATTCACTAATCTTTTAAGTGGTGCTGGTAATACTTAGACTTTAGATTTGTTAGAAAATGCTTTTCGTTCTTCAGAAGCCTTTGCTATATACTTCTGATGTTCTTGCTTCCTGGTACCCTGTGAAGAAAGGAAGAAAATGGTGCCACAGGCACTATGTAACTAATCTTTTGAACTCTGCCATTTTAAAAGGATGAGACAAATGGCTTCTGATACAAAATAGCAATATATTTGTGGTCTTTCAGGATGGCCAACCTGTTGATATGACTTAATTTTGAAAATGAGTCTTGCTGCACTCCTTTGAGTTTGAGAGAAATAGTAAGCATGTCAAAGTGTAGACTTCAAGTGAGAAGTGTATTGTTATAGCTAAACAATAAAAATGCTTCTTTATATTAAACCTCTAGAGCTGGTGAATCTAAGAAAGTTAGAAGAAATTAACTTACATATGCCAAGAGTATATTTGGTTCTTTTTGATGTTAAAATAATCTACACATTTTGCTTTTCAGTTAAGCAATTATTTAGCAGGTTTTAGCATTTAAAACTGAGCTTCATGCTTCAGTAGGCTTTACAAAGTGTCTTGTTATATCATATGATGCTTTAAGGAAATGCTTGTCGGAGACGTCCGTTAATTAAGGAATACCCCTCTTTCACTATGAAAATTAGTTGCAGTGGTCACTATTCTTGTTAATTATCTAACATGTTTATAAGGCCTTGATGTCACTAAGCAGTTGGGTTAAATGTTGAAAAATTGCAATTAGGAAAACTGTTGTCTTTGAGCAGATAACTGATCCCAACCTCTGTGGGACAGGAGGTTTGAAGTGTCTAGAAGTCTGATCTGAACACAGCAAGAATTGTGGTCGTTTTGTCATCAGAAAGGAGCTGGTTGTTTAAATACTAAATAGTTAGACAGCTGGAAACTGCTGAAGAAATAAACAGGAGGTACTTATGGCAGACATTGAGTGTGTGGTCTTGTGCTGAATATGCTTGGTATTGCTTTATCTTTAAGGACTTAGTTAACTCTTGATGTGTGTAATGCCTTCTAGTGAAGATCTCTGACTCATAACTGCTAGCTGTGCCTTAAGCATGGTGCTGGAGTTGAGGCAGTGAAAAGGATTCTTAAAGAAATATGCCAAATAAGTAAGACTGGTGCAAAGTTCAGGTGACAAACCATACGGGATCTGCTGCAGAGTGCAAAATATGAGCTCTCTTTATATGAGAAAAGGTATAAAGACTTAAACCTCAGAACAAGAAGCAGCTACTGTCCAGGTAGAAGGATGTGGCAGCACTGTTACATAGCTGCCTGTCACCACATCCTTGGGCCTGGATAACTTCACCAGATTTATGATAAATGTTAGATTAATTGTAGGATCCTAGGATGCTATCTCTGAATATAGAATCCCTACAGTGGGAACCAGAGTTGGCTTCTCAGGCTGTGGTCTTGTTACTACTGTAAAGACTGAGGAACATCATAGTTTTTACTCTATTAATCTTGTCTTGCAAACCTGTATACTTTGTTCTGAGGTATGCCTGTTGCTAGTACTCTCTTGCTGTGTCATATTGAGCACAAGTAGGTAGACCTTCAGCTTAGTTTACATTGGCAAAGTGTGATTTACTAAATATAGTTATTCTCTATAGTGGAATTGATTAACAGTGATACTTGCATAATAGTGTTTAATGTATAGCTTTTCAGTATTGCATATGAACTCTGTGGAGTGGCACTTGATTCCACTTCATGAATGGGAGACCTTAATCACTTCTAATGTGAAGGTGAAATGCAAATAAGCATCACTAACTTTGTCTTCTTATTAAATAGGTTTAAGTGGAAATCCAGCAGATATAGAAAGGAGAGAAGCAGTGTTTGGGAAGAACTTTATACCTCCTAAAAAGCCAAAAACATTTCTTCAGTTAGTATGGGAAGCACTACAGGATGTTACACTAATTATATTAGAAATTGCAGCCATAGTATCCTTGGGCCTTTCTTTTTATCAGCCTCCAGGAGGGAATGAAGCATGTAAGTAAATGTTTTAAAAAGTAGCTATCTACCTATACTATGCTACTGACTTTCCTGGTCCAACATAGCTATCCTGTAAATCTGATGGGGGGCGGCAAGTCTGGAAAAGCAGCTTATTGTTCCATATTGAGAGAATACTACTAAAACTCTAATTTGCCTTAAAATGGCAGCATGAGTTTTCCCAGGTCATCGTCCAGGCTGTTTGACTGAAATAATAATAAACATGAAGTGCTTAATGAACGAAGTAAAAGAAGTGCTACTACATTAAGTAGTTAGTGTTGTAAGTAGAAGAATACTTCTACTTAGAAGTATTTAGTGAAGTAAAAGCAGCAGAAACAATACTGTCTTAGACTGTCATGTTTCTGTGCAAGTGTTTTGTTAACTCTGCCTCAAATATATTTAAGCAATTTGTAATTTGTCGTGTGCTTTCTGTGGAAAGTCAGCATATCTTAAATTTTCCTTGACTTACAATTTGACATTGATAACTTTCCAATATAAAAAAGGAAACCTTGTTTGTAGTTCTGAAGAAAAGATGGAGAGATCTGGCCTTTATTGAACTGAACTTTTGCAATGAGATCTGGCTTAAGATAAAAGTGAAGTAGGAAATGTTCACAATGCAGAAGGTGGATAACCAGTTTTCTAATCTGGCCTTCTTATGCCATAATTTAATAAGATAATAAGGACTGTGTAGCTTTGTGTATCGGCTTCTTTTGTGTTCAGACCAGCAGGGATATAAATTCTAGGTGATATAACTTCATGCACCTCTAACTTTCAGGTTCTCTAACTTTGCGTTGTATTATCCCTGAAACTAAACCTAAAGTTGCAAAGACGGATAGCTATAAAGTATTCTTCCCTTTGGCTAACTTTTTTTTGTTTTATAAAGTAACTATTCATGTTAACTTACATCTGTAAAATCTGTTTTCTACAGTATGTGGATCAGTGAATATTGGTGAAGAGGAGGAGGAAGGGGAAACAGGTTGGATTGAAGGAGCAGCAATCCTCCTATCTGTAGTTTGTGTGGTATTAGTAACAGCTTTCAATGACTGGAGTAAAGAGAAACAATTTCGGGGACTGCAGAGCCGAATTGAACAAGAACAGAAATTCACAGTCATCAGAGGTGGCCAAGTCATCCAAATACCAGTAGCTGACATAATCGTTGGAGATATTGCACAAGTCAAATATGGTAAATATATTTTTAAGTTAAATTTTCATTTTTTTGAAGTAAGGAACTGAATTCAAATCCCTAATGGTCTGTTTTAGGTGATCTCTTACCAGCTGATGGTGTACTCATTCAAGGAAACGACCTCAAAATTGATGAAAGCTCACTGACTGGAGAATCTGACCATGTTAAGAAATCTCTGGACAGAGATCCTATGCTGCTTTCAGGTGTGTGACACTTGAAAATTCTTGAAGCAAGTAATAAGTTTGGGGACTGGTTATTTAAAATTTTGAGGTAAAAAAATCTAGCAACCTGGACCTTACCTATGGTGACTTCTAGAAGTATCCAGAAACCTTAGCCCAACTATCACAAAACTCTGTCAAAGTGAGCTGACTCTTAAAGCTCATAGAAGTTCTTGCTTGTGCAGTTGCTTTTTTCCCCCTCTATTTTCCAGATAACTTTGGCAATTAAATCTCTTGGAAAATGCAGTAATTTATGCACGGTCCTATGGGTTCTCAAACTTCATATTGAAAAAACTATTTACTTTATACTCTGCAGTACAACTGTTGAAGTTTCAGTGGAAAACCTGATGCAATCTTTCAGGTACACATGTGATGGAAGGCTCTGGAAGAATGGTAGTTACTGCTGTAGGTGTGAACTCTCAGACTGGAATCATCTTTACCTTACTTGGAGCTGGAGGAGATGAAGAGGAGAAGGAGAAGGAAAAAGAAAAGAAGGACAAGAAAAGTAGGCATCATAATCTTAAAAGGCTGGGAAGGGAGGGGTGAACTGAATGTTACTGGATGCAAAAGTGTTTTAGTTATCTGGAGCCAGAAAACTTCTTACCCTCATGCTTTCCTGTAGGTTTCACAGATGAACGATCCAGTGACCTGAGAGTGTATGCTACTGTTAATAACTATTGTCAGGTGGATTTTTAATCGAACTTGTCATTCGATCAATTATAGGTTGAAAAGTTTGTAACTCATAACCAACCTTATAGCATGTAAATTGTTACATTGCTATCTTGTGTAACTTCAGAGTGCATTCATGTTTCACAGTAAATACTTGTTTATGGTGAACAGCTTATTACCAATAATTAAAGCTAATAAGTATCTAGTTCTGCTTCCAACAGATGGGAAATGTTGTGTATAGTGAGTTTTTTATGGCAAATGTGCCACTTGAAGGGGAATAGCCTGAATCATTGATAACTTGGTGCTGAGTATGTGTATAATTTAAACGTAAACGTGACCTGGTTTGAAAGGTGAGTAGACAGTCTTTTTGTGCCAACACTTTTCCTTGAATTTAAACTTTGAATGCTCAGATTTACATAAGACAAAAACCTAGCAACCTTTTCTCTAAATTTTTTTTGGGGGAGGGGGGCAGCGGGGCTGGTAGGGGAAGGGAAGAGGCTTATACTACAGAGCATTTTAGAACCTTTCTGTGAAGTGAAAAATGGAATATCTTTCTTTGAGGAGCATGATCAGTAACCAGCACTACAAGGTCACTTTTCTAGGCCATAGCCTTTATCCCATCTGTATGAGAATCAAAGCTTAGTAAAGTTTACTAGTAATGCTTTGACGCTAGCCCTTACAAGGCATGGTCAGTACAGAGCTTCACCACAGCCAAATTCTTGTAGAAACCGTTGTGAGGTCTACTGGATGAGACTGAGCCTACAAGGACTCTTGCCAGAAAAATATACTCCTCTGTTGGAGTAACAGAAACAGTAATGTTAAAAACATACAGAAATGTGCTTAGGAAACATAGTGGCCTCCTACTTAAGAAGGAAGTTGTTGAAATGTGTGCTCTGTGCAGGAACTGGGATTGAACTGTGCTTCTGTCTGTTTGGCCTAATCCATAAATACTCAAATCCTAATCCTTCTTGAAATTTACTTCCAGTTTATAGTTAGTTTCAAGCTTAAGTGGTATAGTGAAGAGTAAAAGTTGAATCGCAGCACTGCGGGATTTGTATAGAATACTTTCCCTTTTCCCTTACAGAGGAAGGAAAAGGAAGCAAGCAATATACCAGATGCTGCAGAAGAGAGGGGAAAGATCATAGCTCTCGTATTCTATCACTGTATATTATTCTATAAGAAGAAATCTTTTTGGAAGATAGTGCTTTGGTGTATTCTAGGGCCTGAATACTTGTTTGTCTCCTGAGATGGGTAACTTCCTCTTTTGCTTAAGCTGGAAGCCTGATAACCTGAATTTTACCAAGGAGAATCTTAAACTAAATTGGCTTCTCTGTGAATGTTAAGGAGATTAAAGCAGCTATTTTTAGTTGTCTGTATGTGACTTGGTTCAGAGTGAAAGCATATTGTAGATACAGGGAGTTAGAAGCATCTCAAGTACAAAGTTTTGTTCTTGTAGGAAAGACCAAAAAAAACTGGAAGAGAACAAATACTAAGCTAACAGATAACAATGAGGACTTAAACTGAGTGAAGTGACATCTTCTGGAGAAGATGAGCAGTTTTTTTCTCCTGAGCTATTGTGAGGATGCTGGGGGAGTCTCTTATCTGTAGAAATTATACAAAAGACATAATTGATGTCATTACTTATCAGGGAGTAATATATCAGAATTACACATGTCAGACACTTGCTAGTGATGCTACAAATTGTGGGTTTTGCTCCAAGTTCCACAGCTTCCTGTTTTCATTTCAAGTTATTACAAATAGTTACTATAACCTTTGCTTTCTCTAGTTATGAGAAAAGCTGTCACCTCGTCTCTAGACGAGGTAGTGTCTAAAACTTGTTAACCTGAAAACTCGAGCAAAAAAGGTAGTGAACCCCTAATAAACTACACATGATGCATAGCTCTTCTAGTTACATTTAACATTTTATTCATGAATCGATATGCATTGTTCTAATGT